ATAAGAACGGAAAGGAAATTAGTGTACTTATGATTGCTTATTATTTATTATGATAAAATTTTTTGATTTTGTTTTATTTAATTATTAAAAATAATTAATAATTGATAAAATAATTAATATTTATTATTTAATAGATTAAAATCAATTTATATAATCATATTTTTAAATATTATAATTAACTTAAAAAAAACTACAAATAATAAGATATCAATTAAAATAATTAAAATTTATGTGATTTTAATAAAAAGACGTGTGGCCATAATCACAAGGATGGAGGATCCTTGAGGCCAGCAGGCCATGGCTCCCTAAGATTTTTGAAAAAAAATTAGTATATAATGATATGTTTTATTTTTAGTAATTTTTATATTTATTTTATTGTAAAAAAAATTATTGATATTTTTCTTTATAGAATTAAAATTGATTTGTATTTAAATTGTAATTTAGTATTCAATAACAATATAATTGAGAAAGTTGAAATTTTCTTAGATCGTGTGATAATGAGTTACGAAAAACAATAATATTTTTGTGCCATGCACGCTGGGTGTTTGACTATAATTACCTTAATAGGATATACTTTCTCTGCCTCACTTTGATTTATGTATTATGTTTTGAGGTTTCTATTTTTTTTTTTTTATAACAATTATTAATTAACTTGATCTTTAAATTGTTAGTTAATTTACATACAACTAATGTGAGCTCTTAAAAACTCATCATATTAATATGATAGAAAATTAAACTTAAAAAATAAAAATAAGGTGAAACAAAAAAAATTTAATTTATCTTGAAATTAAAAAAATAATCCATTTAAGACAAATTTTCAGCATTATTTTTATAATTTATGGTTAAAAAAAAAAAAAAACTCCTATCGGCCTTTCTAAGATCTTGGTCAAGCTTCGTTGCTACATAACTACACCGCAAATGGTTACCCTTTTTGTTTTCATGTTTTCTTATGCTACACTTTGCTTCGGTACAGACTCATTGCCCTGGGAATCCAAAATTCAATTTTCAAGAGTACATGATGCGTGCTTACGAGGATGATTTCAAGAAAGTTGTTGGAATAAGGTTAGAAGAATGTTCTAATCTCAATTAAGATGTTTTGTTTCCGGTAAAACCATTCCTTAAAGTTCTCAAACTTGTCCCTTTTTAGCATATATGCAACTAAGTTAAAAACAAGCAAATAAGCCGTTAAACCATGCAATTAAAGCAAATTAGGCATTTTTTTAATGACAATTGATTTGTTTTTTGTATATATAATGATGGATTATATAAAAAGAGATAACATTCTCTTAAATAGATTATATAAAAAGAGATATCATTCTCTTTTCCAAAATCCCATTTCACTTAACTTAAAATTTAAATTTAAAATCTCTAATTTAGAATTTTAAGATTTTAATTGTTAAACCACCTCCTTGGACATAATATTTATTGACAGCTTTTATTAATTTTAGCTCATGTGGCTGACAAAAGAATGACTATCATTAATGCTTATTTATCTAAAAATTAAAAAATGAATAATTTCAATTTAATTGCCATATTAATGTATTAACATCAAGCGTTGCTTTTAGTTATCACATCAGTTGATCCATTAACAAAGGGTTAATTTGCTACAATTTGCGTGGTTCAAAGGGCTTATTTACTTGTTTTTTAGTTTAGGGTGTTATATGCTAAAATGAGATAAGTTTAAGGGCCTATGAAAAGTTTTTGCCTTTGTTTCCCCATGTTTTGCATTGGTTCTTCTCATGGATTTCTCTAATTTTTATATTCATAAAATGCAGTTGGTACCTTTGGATTTTTGTGGTTATCTTCTTGTTGCTCAATGTCGATGGTAAGCTACTTTCCACTATTCGTCTCAGGAATATCGAGTAATTCTACTATATCTCAGGGATAGATAACCTGAATCAATGAAAAATTGACAATTTAATATTTCACAATGTCATGGGAAAAAATTCCTGTACCTAAAGCCAAGTTCCAATTTCTTTGTACAGGATGGCATGGGTATTTCTGGATAGCATTCGTTCCCTTTGCTGTAAGCAATTCAAACATCTCTACACTTTTGTGCTTAAAACTTTACTTATCTTTTGGGAATGATTTTTTCCCACCTATTTTAACTGATTTTGCTTGCTGTTGGCACCAAACTGGAGCATGTAATAACACAATTGGCCAATGAGGTGGCTGAAAAACATGTAGCCGTTGAAGGGGAGCTGGTGGTTCACCCTAAAGATGATCACTTCTGGTTCCACAGACCCCAAATTGTTCTCCTCCTCATACACATCCTCCTGTTCCAGAACTCGTTTGAATTGGCATTTTTCTTCCGGATTTGGGTAAAAATCTATCGTCTTTGATATAAAGAACAAGAACTTTTCGTGTTGATGGTATCTGACACATGATGCTGGTATAGGTGCAATATGGTTTTGATTCCTGCATTATGGGACAACTCGGATTTATTATCCCTCGACTCGTGATAGGGTAATCCCCATTATAAAATCCTTTATCTTATGCTGGCATTCATGTTGATGCAGACGGTTTTCTGATTGCTTCGTTTTGATGCTTCTTTTTTTTCAGGGCATTCGTTCAGTTCGTCTGCAGTTACAGTACTCTACCGCTCTATGCAATTGTCACGCAGGTTTGCTCATAGCAGGACCTGATTTCTTCCTTTATACGAAAAATGATGAAGTTGTTAACTTATTATTTTCAATTTTGAAATGAAGATGGGAGGTTCATTCCAGGGTTCAATATTTAAGGAACACGTTAAAGAGGTACTCCTAGATTGGGCCAACACGGCGAGGACTCATGCTACGGTTATGCAGAAGGCTTCTACTGGATCCAGCCGGTCGCTCATAAAGGGTATTCTGTTTCTGCTTCAACAACACAGTTAGCAAGGGTTGATGACCTGGAAACTGCAGCAGAAGAGGGCAAGGGGTAGATCAGGCCTGAATCAGTCTCCGCCAGCCACAAATGAGCTGTAGCTAATACGTCAAAGAGCAGTGTTGTACTAAAGAATCTTCTGTGTTCAAGCAGAAGAGAGAATGTTGTTGAACCATAGAGAAGTGCAAGATGTAAGCAAGATTTAAGAGTTCGGATACATTTTCCTGTCTTTGGAATGTTTAAAAATCTATGCTCCTTGGCATATATTATTCGGTTTAGTACAATAATCATTATGGAAATCAGGATTAGCTACTCTTAACTCACAAACTACTGAACAGCATCACCAGAAGAAACCAAGAACACAGACCAGAAACAAAACAAAAACTCCAGCTTCCCATTCTCAGTTTCTGCGGTGTGTTGATTTGACCTGTTTGCAACTTGGGTGCAACCTTTGCACAAATGTTTCAGCCACAGGCCATTTAACTGATAGCCTCGATGTTTTAGGTTGTGGGAATCCATACAAAATTCACCAGCTGTTCAATTGTTTCTGGATTTTAGAGTTATGAGAGGATTTACCCCCCTTGTCTTTGTAAGAATTTCTGGATGCATAATTCTTCCGTCCCCTACTTGCGGCTGCTATTGCACGCCGTCTCTGTTTGGTTAAACTCTTAACAAGTTGAGCATCATTTACATCCTCACTTTCTTCCTCCTGTGAAGGGAAAAAAAAAATAATGAGTTTATACAAGCCAGCATGCAAGTTATAAGAGAAAACACAATTACTCCAACCAAGAGAAAGTATGTAAGAGAATAACATGGCACCCTATCACTTGCATTTTCACTTTCTCTGCTCTGGCTCACGTTAGATGTCTGCTGGCTTTCCCCAATCCTGTCTTCCTCATTATGACTAGATGTTGTCTTTTCCTGAATTATAGAAAGAACATACATGATAAAATATAAGAAAGATTCATATGATTATGAAGCAAACCACACACTCCCAACAGAGTCTTTTGGTTGAAGAAGATGGAGCAAAAATTAAAGGGTACAGAAAAGTCCCCCCAATTAAGGAAGACAAATCTAATAAGGCTTCGTTTGCCTGTGTCATGCTGTGGCTCTAGGTTTTTTTTGTCTTTTACTATCCCATAAATATATAAAGTATTAATTAAAATGAATTAAGAATAACAATTTTACATTTTTTGATGAGGTGCTGTATAAAAAACGTCTGTGTGAAGAATTGTCAAACGAAGCCTAAGTTCTCCTTTCACTTTTCTCATTCTTTAAATCAATCCCTCCCTGTAAATATTCCAATTCCATTCTTTCTCAACAAATTTAAGCTACAGAAAGAAGAAAACAACAATGGCCAGAAAAAGATAAAAAAGGAAGAAGAGAGCAACTGTTTGCTTTTGCTAAAAGCATGAACTCCTAACATCAAATGAGGGCATTTTCAATTTTAATAGGTATTACTTTGCAGTTAAAAATATTCCCCTTTAAATCAGTTAGCATCATCTTAAACTGAATGTAAGCTTGAATCATGCCAATCACCCAAAAATCCTAATCAGAACCTTGGGTTTACAACATAAGGTAATATGACCTTAATGATTATTGCTTTAAGAAAAAATGGCATCACTCAACAGTACAGATCAAGAATGATATACCTGCTCTAACTTCAAAGAATCCAAATCCTTTATGGTTGTTTGATTTAATTCTGATTCATGTCCATTATCTTCAGTTCCTTCACCTTCACCACCAGCATCATCCTCAATGTCACCTTCAATAAACTGCATAAAATAAGTAGCATTTGCTGTGATCATTTAATATAACATAAGCATTGTTTATGGTATATCTCATAAAGTTAACAATAAAAAGACAAGCCAGCATAGATGTTGCAAAAACATAACATGCCTGCCACACAGGCAAAAAACAGACAACTACTACATTCTACATGCATATCATCCACATCCATGACAACCAGATAGATAAACTACCAAAAGAAATACATCTCATCAAGTCCATAATACCATCACTCTATGAAACAAGCACATATATAATGATGGAACATGCTGCTCATACTTTACCCTCATGTCTTTATTCTAGTTTGACAGGAAACAATAAGCAAAATAATGCATTTGAAACAAGGAAACTCAACCAGGTTTGAGTCACGTACCCTTTCTATCTCATCCTGCTCCTTTCTGGTAAATCCACTGGCAGCAAGTTCTTTGTCGAGAAATCCAGCAGTTTTGTTTACTGAAGAAAAGGATGGCCTACTACTTTCATCTGTGTCTACCTCCGAAACATCAACATTATCATCATGCTCTTCGAAGGTCATCTTGAACCTAGTATAAAGAAGTAGAAGATGAAAGGAAGGCATTTACTGAAGTTGAATGGAGAAGCCAGATGAAAAAAACATGCGCAGTTCAAATCAAGTACTAGTAAAAGCATTCTTATGATCAGCAATTAACCATCAGGACCCATGTAATTATAAAGCAATTGACTTATATTTAAGACTCCATAGAAAGTAGAAGAACTGCTAGGAATTTATGGTATCTCATATTTCAACATACTGACTGAAATCTTGAAATAGGAAAAAGAATCACTAACCTCTTTCCAAAAAACTTGTAGATGCATTCAACATCACGGTCAAAATACCTAGGAGAAGTTATAAAGAATTGAGAAGTGGATGTCAGATTCAAACAAGTCATGGATTTGAAATTCTTGCACTTAGAGAACCAATATTAGCCATGGCATCAAAACCAGCAGTCTTACATACATCTCTGCATTACGATGTGATACAGATACCATTTGTGGAAAATCGATCATGGTGACCTTTTCATCATCGTCAATCTACGAAGAAGAGGAATTAAAACCAGTCAACAAATGAAAGGCTTGAAGAAGAAGCTGACAACCTATTTGGATTAAATACCAAGAAAAACTATCATACACTGAACTCAATGAGAGCAGAGGTGCAAGCAAACAAGAAAGAGCTCAAAAGAGATATGAAATGCTTACCATAATGTTAAACTCATTGAAGTCACAATGAATCAGACCATGTTCTGCCAAACGAACAATAAGGCCAAGGATTGTTTCAAAAACCACCTCAGGGTTTTGCAACTCCTTCACCTGCACACTGATTGGGAAGGAATTTTTATAATCTGAACTACCTCTCCAAGTGACAAAGTATATAGAATAGGATATGGAAGGAGGAAAAAAGTACTAATCAGTGTGAGATGAAGAAAATCTTTGAGGTATCAAGTATTTTAATTGTTTTCTACTTCTCTTGCCATTCAATGAAAAGAAGAGCATTTTAAACTACAACAGTCATTGATATTTCAAAACTCAATCATCTGAAAAACAATGTCACTAGACTCACTTCTGGTAATCTCTGTACATATTTCTTTCATAATATTCCTTTCACTTATTTCAAAAAATTGCAGATGTGAATTTTGGGCAACATTAGTTTAAGTTCCATTTCCACTTCCTCTTTACCAATGATACTGTTCATTCTTTTTAATGGATTAAGCAAAAAGCCAACTCACTCCAGTCACATGAAGGGACAAAATACTTTAGGTGGCAACCAGATAAGAGTGGACTTAGAAGAAACTCTCACAGTGGATAACCTTGGACAAGTGACATAACCACACAATGCCTATTACAGTCCACAGCATTTGGCACAGGAAATCCATGTTCTTCCAAAGCCTGAACAAGTAAAGTTTAAGTATAAGGCCAACACCATTTGATTTCATAATTAATCAATACAAGTTTCTGGAGAAGTAAAAAAGAATATAAAAGAGAAAACAAAAACGGAGAACTGATAGTACCTTCATAAAAGCATATTCTTTGAGAGCAGCAAGGCGGGACAAATAGAGCCAGTTATAGTTATTACGATGCCTCAAATAATCACGCTTAGATTTGACAGCCCTAAAGGAAGTTCTACCAAGTCTATGCAACTTCATTGCCATGATAGTACCATCCTCACGTGAAACCTCAAAGATATCTTGAATAAACTCAAACGACATAAAATAAGTATAAAGTAAAATAAATAAAAACATAGTAACAAGCAGTCCATAATTGAACCTAAAAAGTTACCAGACTCTTTGCCAACACCAATTTGGCGACCAACAGCAGTGAAGACTCCACGGTTGACCATAGTCTTAATTGCAAGGAAATCATAACCAAGGTAGGTGAGACGAAATCCATCATCTAAACATAAGCATGAAAAGCTTGTTACTTAGCAGATAAAAAGGTAGATACTTAAAGTTGGAAAGACAAAAAGAAGACAGGATGTACATTTGGAAGCATCATGGTGCAGCAGCTTATGCTTGAGTAAGTTCTTCAAGACCTTGTATGTGCCACCATGCCTACATACATACAAAGAAAACAACTTTAGATTAATTGAGATGATGACGACAATGCAGTTGCTAAATGAGGTAGGTGGAATCATGGGAAAAGTTAAAAAGAAAAGGAAAAGAACATACTTGAGAGAAGCAATGCGATCAATGAGCACAGAAGGCACAATCTCATGCTGTACACAAAATGCAGGAACCAACAACCGAAAAAAAAAAAAAAAATACTCTCATCTTCAACAACTAAGTAAAAGTAATAAAAGGGTAAAAGAATAGAACTTTATTGGACACAAAGTAAATTGCTAAGAAAAGGAAACATACATTCCGCATGCCCATTTCAACAGCAGTGAGAACCCTGAAGTCCTCCCGGGATAGATATCTCAGAACATCAACGTCCAGCTTCATTCTTCACTGCTTTGCATCAATCCAAACAGTTTACAAACATTGTCAGCAGTCAATCAACAAATCAAAAGGGAACGACTAAAAAACAGACACTGAATTCATCAGCTTTTTTTTAAAAAAAAAATCCTGGGTCTGGCAATCCGAAGCTTAACAGAGGTGCGAGAAATCCAAAAGGCAAATTAAAGGTTTCCACTTTCCAGAAAGAGTCTTTTGTATACAACTAAACTCTTCCAGCTCCGGCAACAGGGATCTCAAAATTGCCGATTTATTGTTATTGCTTACCGATCAGAACAACACAGAAGGAAGGGGGAACGCAGAAGAGAGCAGAGTTGCCTCTTGCCTGCGACGGCCTCTTCAGGACAGTTGATTATTGCAGTCCGGAAAAAAGCAGCCTAGCCTTGCACCTTGAACTAGGTTTAAAGATGCTTCACAGCCCATTGGGCTTTACACAATGGTCTCAATATTTTGCTTCGGTCCAAAACACTACAGTAAGTTTTCTACTGTATCTTTAGCGTACAATATAAGAATGTATTTATTATTTTTTTATTATTAATATCTTTTATTAATTTTAATATTTAATAATTATATTGAGTATCAACTAATTTAAAGCCGAGCAATGTCTAATCCCATAAGGAATTTGAGACTTTGTTTAAGGGTATCAAATTCTTTTAACTTGGATCATTAGGTCGTTAGAATCATC